TGCGGCACCTCCGCCGCGCGGACCTCGGCGCCCGCCAGCGAGTCGAACGCCCAACTGCCGTCGGAGCGCTGCACCTCGGCCAGGAACCGCAGGCCCCGCTCGATGGCGGCCTCGGTGCGGGGCGAGGGCGAGCCCTCGCTGCCGGACTGCAGCAACTCCACCCGCTTGCCGCGGCTGCTGAACGCGGAGGTCGGCGCGCGCGCGTCGCCGGCAACCGAGGGCGACCCGCCGGCCGCCTGATTGCGGAACCGCCCGGGCGAGAGGTTGGCCGTGGCGTCGCGGCTAGGGGCCAGCTTGGACAGGCCGGCGGTTTCCGCGGGCTTCACGCCGAGGCCGCCGGTGTCGGGACGCGCGTCGAGTTCGGCCGCGACGCCCGGCTGGCCGGCCCCGGCCGCGGCAGCCGCCGCCGGGGCTTCGAGTGCGCGTCCGGCCGAACCAAGCGCCGCCAGCGGCGCCGCGCTACCGCGCGGGCGCGAGCGGACGTCCGCCAGCATGCGCGCCCCAGAAATCTGCGGCGCGGGGCCGTCGGACCGCATGGCGAGCCGATCGGGCGCCGGCGGGGCGGGCCTCAACGGCGCCATGTCGGGCAGGTCCGGTGTGACGCGGGGCAGGGCGGGGGCGAGGCTTGCCATCGCCGGCCGCTGGCGCTGCGGCTGGTCGACCGGCGGCGCGAGCGCGGCCATCCGCGGCGCGGCGGGCTGCTCGCGGGCCGTGTCGGTCGCCTGCGAGGGCAGCGGCGTGATCGGGTCCATCGACGACGGTCCGAGCTGCGCGAGAGCCCTGGGCCGGGACCGCGGCGGCGCCTGGGCGGCGCTGAGCGTCGGCGCGGCCGCGGCGGCGGAGGTCGGGCGGGCCGCCGAGTTGAGCGGGCCCTGCAGCGGCGGCAAAGGCCGCGTGGGTGCGCGGGGCATCACGACCGGCGAGACCGGCGCCAGCAGCGGCGCCGCGGCGCGGGCCAGCTGCGGGGTGGGGCGGGGGCTCGGCTCCGGCTCTTCCAGCGGCGCCGGCGTGGTCAGCGTGCCGGCGTCAAACTCGGCCGCCTGCGGGGCGATGCTGGCCGCCGAGGCGATGTTGCGGCTGCGGCGCCCCGACTCGATCGCCGCCTGGGCGAGCGTCGATTGCGGGCGCTCAAACTGCGCCGCGTCGGGCGCCGGCGGGGCCGCCCGGGGAGCCTCGGTCGGCTGGAGCATGGTCTCGGCCAGCTTGGGCGCCTGCCGGTCCGGCTCCAAGATCTCCGCCTGACTCTGCGGGGCGCTCGACGCCACCGGCCGCTCGAAGTCGGGGACCTCGTTGAGCTGATCGCGGTCGATGACCACCATCTCGGGCGGCTGCTCCTCCTGCGGCTCCGCCACGGGCGGGGCGTCCGCGTCGGCCAGCAGCTGAGGCATGTGCAGGTTGGCGAATGCCAGCCCGGCGATCAGCGCGGTGTGCACAAGGAGGCTGGCCACCACGCTCAACTGCAGCCGCTTGGCCGAGGCGCCCGGCGCCGCCAGGAACGCCGCCGCCAGCAGCAAGGTGGTGAGGCCGAGCGTGGCCAGGCGGTAGTAGCCGTTGCGCCACGGGTCCGGGTCGTCGAACCCGCCGAGCGCGACAACCCCGCCCGCCGCCGCCCCGGTCCACAGCGCCAGCGCGGCGTTGACGGTCGCGGCGCGTTCGTCAATCGCGGGTCGGTAGATGGCGGGGTCGAGGGACAACTGCAAGCTTCCGGCGGTTAGCTGTTCGAATCACTCACACACACAGCCCCTCGACGAGATGCCCGCGGGGGAAGGTGACACCCCTTACTCTGTCGCAATGCGGTAGTTGCCGATGTTCGCCTGATTGCAGGCGTCGAGCACGGTGACCAGCGCGCCGGAGCTGGACTGCGCGTCGGCCCGGATCACCACGGTCTGCTTGCCCGGGTTCGCCTGGTAAAGAGCCTTGAGCCGGGTCCGCAGCATGCTGGCGGTGAGCTCCTGTCCTTGGATGAAGTACTTGCCGGCGGGCGTGACGGTGACAAACACCTCCTGTCCTGGCAGCACGGTCGGCGCGGCCTCGGCGGCCTGCGGGAGCGTGACGTCCATCTGCCGCTCTTCCTGCTCGAAACGGCTAGCGACCAGGAAGAAGATCAGCAGCAAGAACACCACGTCGATCAGCGGGGTCATGCTCAGAGCTCCGGCCGAGGTCCCCTTGTTGATTTTGACAGCCATGCCGGGCTAGACCCTCCCGCCCGCTTCGGCGGAACGCTGCAGGTGATGGGGCGTTGGGCCTGCGGGCGGCTCGGGAGGAACGGGCGCGGGGGCCTGACGGTAGCCGGGCCGGTCGTGCTGGTAGTTCAGCTCGAGCTGCCGCAGATCGATGCGTTCGCGTCCCTCGAGCGCCTCGATGCGGGGGAGCAGCACGGTCATCAGGCTCTCGACCTTGCGGAGCGCGCGGAGGATGCGGCCCTCAAAGTAGTGGGCCAGCACCGCCGCGGGGATCGCCACCGCCAGCCCGGCGAACGTGGTCATCAGCGCAACGTAGATGCCCTCGGCCAGCGCGGTCGCCTTGTCGGTGCCTTCCGCGGCGTTGGCCGTGACAAAGAACGACTCGATCATGCCCCACACCGTGCCCAGCAAACCCATCAGCGGGGTCACCGCGGCGGCCAGGTTGAGTGTGCGGACGTTGCCGTACATGCGGTCGGCCTCGTTCTGCAGCGCGTCGGCCGCGGCGGCCTCGACCTCGGCGTGCGGGCGGCCAATCTTCGCCAGCGCGGCGATCACCACCCGCGACAGCGCGCTGCGGCTGCGGCGGCAGGCGTTGTAGGTGCGTTGCGGGTCGAACTCGCCGTCGTCGACCTGGCGGCGGAGCGTGGCGACCAGCTTGCGGGGCCGGATGCGGCCGCGTCGCAGGCCGAGCATCCGCTCCAGCGTGACCGCCAGCACGACGACCGACATGAGCACGATCGGCGCCATCAGCCAGCCGCCCTTGAGGAACAGCTCGAGGATGGGCGTCGCGGCGTCGGGGATCGGTGCGGGCGCCGGGGCCGGCTCGAGCGCCGCGTCGGCCATGGCGTCCGGGTCGGGTTGGGCCTGCTCCGCAGGGGGCCCCAGCGGCGGGAAGACGAACTCGCTCGGGTCCGCGGCCGGAGCCTGCGCGTGCAGCGGGCCCGTGAACAGCAGCATCGCCAGGGTCATCGCCAGGTGGCGGGCAAAGGACATCACGTTTTTCTCTCTTTGATCGCCTGGCTGATTCCAACGCCCCATCATCTACCGCGTCACCCCCTGCTGCAACCTGGTGCGGGCGTGCCGCGCCTTGGCCGAGTCGGGGAAGCGCTCCAGCAGCTCGACGTAGAGCTGCTGCGCCGCTTCCTTCCGCCCCAGCGCCTCGAGGCAGCGTCCGGCCTCAAACAACGACTCCGCCTGCCAGGGGTGGTACTCCGCCGGCGCGTCCTTGCCACCGTAACCGTACGCGACCCGGAAGAACGTGCGGACGGCCGCCTGGTGCTCCTTGTTGGCGAACTGCATCTCACCAAGCATGAACTGCGACCGCGCGGCCAGCACGCCGTCCTTCGATTGAATCAGGGCTTCGAAGATCGGCCGCGCTTCTTGGGTCCGTTGCAGGTTCACCAACGCCCACGCCTGCTCGTAGCGGATCTGATCAGCCTGCGAGCCTGCCTGGTCTACCTGACCGGCACGGTCGAGCCAGTTGAGCGACTCTTCCCAGCGGCCCAGCTGCGCGGCCGACTGGCCCGCGTGCAGCCAGGCGGTGCTCGCTAACGACTTGTCTTTGAGCGCCGGCTCGGTGGTGCGGGCGTAGGCATCCAAGGCCGGCTCGTACTGCTCGAGCTGGAAGAGCGACTCTCCCAGCATCGCCGCGCCGGCGGCGACGCCCTCGTTGGGTTGCTGCTTGAGCTGCGCGGCGAAGGCGTCCGCCGCGGCGGCGAACTCCCCGGCTTCGTATCGGATCCAACCCAACAGTTGGGAGGCTTGCGCTTTGAGCTCGGGCTTCGCGTCGCGACGCGCAGCCAACGCAGAGAGGGGCTCGGTCGCCTGCTCTTTCTGTCCCGCCTCGTGCAGCAACTCGCCCGCCCGCAGCAGGGACTCGGCGGCCAGCGGGCTCCGTGGGTAATCGGCGGCCAGTTGCTGGAATCGGGCGGCCGCCTGCGCGGGTTCAGACTTCCGCTGCAGCCACGCAAGCTCGAAGGCCGCCTGGTCGGCGCGGTCGTGCCGCGGGTGCTGCCGCAAGAAAGACTCGAGCGCTGCCTTTGCTTCGTCCGGGCGCTCGGCGCCGAGCAGGCAGAGCGCCCTCAGGTAGCTCAACTCAGCGGGCGGCGCCTTGGCGGTGGCGAGCAGCTTCAACGCTTGCCCGTCTTGGTTCTGCTCGTGCAGCAGGCCCGCCAGCGTGAAGCGGGCCTCGCCGACTGGGCCTTCCTGGTACCCGGAAACCAGGCGCCGCAAGGTGCGCCCACCGGCCCGCTTGTCACCGGACTGCAGCTGGTTGTTCGCCAGGCTGTACAGGGCGTACGGCGCCAGCTCGCTCTGGGGGTGCTCCTCCGCGAGCTTGGCAAAGTCGTCGTTCGCGCTGTCCAGATCACCGGCCGCGGTGAACTGCTCGCCACGCTGGTAAAGCGCCTGGGCGACGCGGTCGGCGTCGGTTGACTGCGCAATCAACTCGCCCAGCGCCGCGATGCTGGCCGACGAATCGCCCGTGGCGCGGCGGGCCTCGGACAACAGCACCAGCGCGTCGGACCGGCGGTCGGGCGGGAGCGTCTTAAGGTTGGCGGCGAGCAGCTTGGCGAGGGCGTCCCACTGCTGACCCTCTCTGAGCAGCGAGGCCAGCCGCATCACCCAACCGGCGACGCGGGCGTCGCTGGGCTTGGCGGCGAGCAGCTGCTGGTACTGCGAGATGGCTTGCGGGGCCTGCCCCAACTGCGCGGCGGACTCGGCCGCAACCAGCCGGGCCTCAGCGGCCCATTCGCTGTCGGGGTGCTCTTGCAGGAACTGCTTCGCCAGGCGGAGCGCCTGATCGTGCCTGGGGGACGCTCAATGAGCCGACTCGGCGTTGGCGGCGGTTGGGTCGGCCCGCCACTCGGCGGCTAGCAGGAACGCGGCGTCATCGTGCTTGCCGGCGAGCAGCAGGCACTTGCCCGCGGCGAGCGTCGCGCCGCGGGTCAGCGGCGACTCCGGGAACCGCCTCGCCAGCTCTTGGTAGGCGTCAGCGGCCGCCGCGTGGTCGCCGGCCGAGTAGAGCGCGAAGGCCCGCCGCTCTTGAGCGTGGTCGGCGGCGGCGTAGCCCTCGACGGACGCGGCCTGGGCAAAGTCTTCCGCCGCGGAGGCCGGCTGGCCGGCCGCCAAACGGGCCTCGCCGCGGAGGGTGTGGGCCTCGCCACCGGATTGGCCCACCGCGCCGCCGGCGATCAGCGTGTTGAGCGTCGCCTCGGCCTGCTCGGGTTGGCCGAGTTCCAGTTCGGCGGAGGCCAGCCCGAGTCGGGCCGCGGTGTGCAGCGGCGAAGCCGTGGCGTCGGCCAGCGCGTTGCGGTAGCTGGCGGCCGCTTCGTCAAACCTGCCGAGGGCGGTCAGCGATTCACCGCGGTAGAACTGCGCCCCGCCGGCCTGGGTGCTGTTGGGGAACTTGGCGATCAACTGATCGAAGGCCGCAATCGCCGACTTGTAGGCCGCAGCTGCCTGCTGGGGCCGCGCGTCGGCTTGGGACGCGGCCTCGTTAAAGCGGGCAAGCCCGAGATTGGACCAAGACGCCTCCGCGACCGAGTCGTCCTGCGCGTGTCGGGCGGCCTGCTGAAACGTTTCTGCCGCGTTGGCGAAGTCGCCCTGCTGGAAGCGGCAGACCCCCAGGTTGTACTCCGCCCGCGGGGCCAAAGCGTCCTGCGGGAAGGTCTTGAGCAGCGTCTGCCACTCCTTGGCCGCCAGGTCGTGCAGCCCGCGGTCCTGCAAGGCCGCCGCACTCGCGTACGCCCGGGCCGCCTCGGCCGAGGGCTTATCGGGCGGCTGAGCAGACGCCGCGTCTACCAGCAACAGACACAGCAAGCCGCAAGCGGCGTTGCGTCGCAAGCGGGGGCCCCTGGCTGTTGGGTCCTTGGCTGTGCGGCCCTGGGCCGGGACAGCGGGAGCCGAAAAGAGCGGGCGTGGGGGCAAGGATTCGCTGCTGGGGCGGTGCGGGGAGGGGAAGAATCGGCGTAGCCCCTATTATTCTCCCGTTCTCTTACCCGGTCCAAGGGCGCAAAGGGGTAAAAAAGGGCGATCGGCCGCCAGCGGTGGCAACCTTTTCCTGTCAGGGGCCTTCCGCCGGGCTGCCGGCCGCCGCGATCGGCTGATAGCGGCGAACACAACCTTTGCTTGACACAGACTTTACGGCGCGTTGCAATGAAAGTCTGGGGTGGCGTCAGGGGCTCTCATGCCACTCCCCCGGACAGTGGAGCGCAAAGTGTATTTTCTCACCCGCGGCAGTCGGCCGCATTGGAGTTTCGTGCCAGCACCGAACCGTTGCCGCCAGTTTCGTCGCCGCGGGGGTGACGGCTTTACTCTGGTCGAGATGCTGGTGGCGATGTCGCTGACGCTGCTGATGATGGCGACCGTCATCGGCGTGTTTGCGAACGTGTCGGAGAGCGTGGCGAAGCGCCGCGCCAGCATCGAGATGTCCTCGCAGCTCCGCAACGCCCGCGCGATGCTGCAGGCGGACCTGGCCAACCACACCTGCCCGGCGATCCCGTGGACCAAGCCGGAGTCGAACCACGGCTACATCGAGATCGTCGAGGGCCCGCAGAGCGATTTTGATCCCAGCATCTACCTGCGTGACGAAATTGCGCCCTTCGGCGAACCAGATCCAGTCGGTCCGTCTGGCAACCAAGTCCAGATCGATTTAGCGGTTTCGCAGCTGCCCAGTTCCAATCTTGGCCGCCTGCCCGGAATGGATGGAACGGCTACGCTCAATCCTCAGTACGTAACCGATGGCGGCGGCCTGGGCGACTGGGACGACGTCCTCATGCTAACTGTCCGGAACGACGAGAAACCGTTTGTCGGCCGCGTGCCGACCGGCGTCCCGCCGGCCGGCAACGGGTTTAATAATTGGCAGGCGACCGAGATCGAATCACCGTTGGCTGAGGTCGTCTGGTTTGCGGTGGAGAACCCAGTAGAGCCTTCCGGATCCGAGACATACTACTTCGGCGAGCCGGGGTTTCGAACTGTTTACCGACGGGTGCTGCTAATCGCCCCGCAGCTTGACTACGGGATCCAGGTCAATGGATTCGACCTCGGCCCGGGCGTGGTACGCGTTCTCTCCAACGTTGGCCAAGATGCGGTCGACGAAGCAATTTCGGCCCTGTTGGCGTTCCAAGACGAGTACGACCTGTCGGTACGTTTGGAATGGGACCCACTCGTTGGTGTTTGGCTACTCAAGGCCAATACACTGAGCGACTTGACGAAACGTGAAAACCGCTTTGATCACCAACACGTGGCGTCTGGAGATCCACGCAGCGGGGCAAGAAACCAGTTTCCTTACCGTTCGGTCGACAATGGCGGTGGAGTCACTGGCGTAATCAATATACGTCACCGGCCGGACCCCGAAACTCGCGAGGTGCAAGATAGCGACAACCCCGCCACTTTCAATGATTCGTCCATCGCGGGCCGCGCGGGAGGCGGCGGGCTACGTGGCTCGGTCAATACTTATCTACTGGGCGATAGCAGTCAGCGTGGCGAACGTATAGCCAGCCGCCCGTTTGTATATGTTGATGAGGATAGGGCGCAGCGACCCACCACACGCGCCATCGTCAACGAGGACGGTCAGGTTGTGATGTTCACCAACGGCATGGCCCCGCTGTCGGGCGACCGCCGGGGCGAGGACGTGGTGCTGAGCAACATGCTGGCGTTCGACATCAAGGTGTACGACCCCGAGGCGCCGCTGCTGGCCGAACAGCCGGTCAACAACGCGAGCCAGTCGGTCGCCTACCCCGGAGAAGTGATTGGCCCCGGCGACCCGGCCTGGGGCGCCCTTGCCCTGGGTTACGCCAGCTCCGGCGCGTCCGGCACGGACTACCAGCCGATTGTCAGCCGCGGCGCGTACGTCGACCTGGGCTATTACGTTTTGCACGCCGATTTTGCGAACCGCAATCCCGGTCTCAGCAACTGGCCAACGGGGAACCTTGGGAATGCATCTGTGCTTCTTGGCGACTCTGTATTCGCGACGGCCATGGCGCCGAAGAGCGGACTGGCAAGTTCGTCGGTCGGCTTGCGTGGCTACGCCTTCCAGCCCTACCGCACCTACGACACCTGGTCGACTTCCTACGAGAACAACGGCAAGGATGACGACGGGGTTCAAGGCGCTGATCAGGGCTCGAACGGCTTTGATGACGACGGCGTCAACGGCGTGGACGACGCCGGCGAGCGTGAGACCGCTCCCCCCTACGACGCGGCCCTGCGTGGCATCCAGGTCACGCTCCGCGGCTACGAGGTCGACAGCCGGCAGATCCGCGAAGTGAACGTCAAGCAGACGTTCGTGCCCAAGTGAGCGAGCAGACGCGCGGCCCCGACGCCCCAGGCGCCGCTGCGCACGTGATCCGGCTCCGCGGCCCGTGGCAGGCGGTCGCCGCCAGCGGGCCGCCGCTGCGGGTGAAGCTGCCGTGCGACTGGTCGGACGCCTTCGGCGAGAGCGTCAGCCAGGTGCGGCTGAGCCGGCGGTTCAACCGGCCGACTGCGCTCGACGCGGGCACACGCGTGCTGCTGCGGCTCGGCTCTGACCACACGCGGGTCGGCGCTCAGTTAAACGAGACGCCCCTCACGTTCACCGGCCCGACGGCCGATCTCACCGGCCTGCTGGCCGCCAGCAACGAGCTAGCCGTGACGCTGCTGTGTGGTTCGGCGGGCGCCCAGGTGCTGGACGCCCAGCTCGAGATCATCGGCGGCTGAGCGGCTGAGCGTGGTCACGTCCCTGCGGGCTTCGCCGGTGCAGGCAGGGTCTGCGGCTCAGCGTCCCCGGCTGCGTCCCCGGCTGTGGCGCCGCTTGTCAGGTGGCGGGGCGGGAACCACAATGTCGGTTCTGCTTGAAGCTCGATTTCCCCCCGCTACGGATTCCGACCCATGCCCAGCTGCGTCCTCGCCTACTCTGGCGGCCTCGATACCTCTGTGATCCTTGGATGGCTTCAGGACGAGGGCTACGAGGTCCATTGCGTGTACGTCGACGTCGGGCAGCCCTGCGAGGACCGCAAGGCGATCATGCAGAAGGCGCACGACAACGGCGCGGCTTCGGCCCGGCTGGTCGACGTGCAGGAGGAGCTGTGCCGCGACTTCGCGTTCCCCGTGCTGCAGTGGCAGGCCAAGTACGAGGGGATCTACCTGCTGGGGACCTCCATCGCCCGACCGCTGATCAGCAAGGCCTGCCTGGAGGTCGCCCGCGAGGTGGGCGCCGAGGCGTTTGTGCACGGCGCCACCGGCAAGGGGAACGACCAGTGCCGCTTCCAGCTGGCCGCCGAGGCGTTGGAGCCGGACGTCAAGATGATTGCGCCGTGGCGGATGCAGTCGTTCCGCGACAAATTCCCCGGCCGCACCGAGATGATCGACTTCTGCGACGTGAAGAAGATCCCGGTCAAGGCGTCGCTCGCCAAGCCTTACAGCTCCGACGAGAACTGCCTGCACATCAGCTACGAGGCGGGCAAGCTGGAGGACACCGCGGTCAACGGCTGCGCGATCGTCGACTTCGGCATGGGGGTCTCGCCCCAGGACGCCCCGGACAAGGTCGAAGAAGTCACGGTCGGCTTCGAGTCCGGCGTGCCGGTCAGCATCAACGGCGAGAAGAAGTCGCCGCTGGCCATGGTGCAGGAGATGAACGTCATCGCCGGCCGCAACGGCGTGGGCCGGATCGACATCGTCGAGAACCGCTTTGTCGGCATGAAGAGCCGCGGCGTGTACGAGGCGCCCGGCATGACCGCGTTGTACGCGGCGCACCTGCAGCTGGAGCAGCTCACCCTGGACCGCGACCTGGTGCACCTGCGTGACCGGCTGGCCCCGGAAGTCGCCGAGATGGTGTACTACGGCTTCTGGTACTGCCCGAAGATGGACGCCCTCATGGCGTTTATCAAGGAGGCCCAGCAGCCGGTCACCGGCGAGGTGACGCTCGGCCTGTACAAGGGCAACATCCTGATCCACGGCCGCACCAGCCCCAACAGCCTGTACGACGAAGAGGTCGCGAGCATGGAGGGCGGCGGCAGCTACGACCAGACCGACGCCGAGGGCTTTATCCGCCTGCAGGGCCTGCCGAGCCGCGTGCTGGGCAAGGTCCGGCCGCGGGCGTACTAGGCCCTCCGCCGCGCCCTTTTACCTCCGACTACTACGACAGAGCTGGCGGGCGGAAGCTTGGACCCAACTCCCCAACGCATCCTGGTCGTCCGCCTGCGGATGCTGGGCGACTCGCTGCTGGTCACACCGCTGATGCGGCAGCTGCGGCGGCTGTACCCGGGCGCGGAAGTCGACATCCTCTGCCAGCCGCAGAACGGTGAGATCTTCCTGTACAGCCCGTACGTGTCGGACCGCCACCTGCTGCGTCGCAAGGCGTCGGCCGGCGAGTTGTGGTCGGTCATCCGGGCGATGCGCGAGCGACGGTACGACTTGGCAATCGACCTGCATGCGATCCCCAAGACGGCCTGGCTCACGCTGGCCAGCGGCGCCAAACGCCGCATCGGTTACCGCCGGGGCCTGGCGCGGGGGCCGCTGTGCTACACCGAATCGACACCCCGCGACCAGATGCCGTACGAGTACAACGCCCGGCGGAACCTGCGGCTGCTGGGTGACGACCGCGTCGACCTGGACGACCTCGACCTCGAGTTCCCGCTCAGCAGCGAGGATGAGGCCTTCGCCGATCGGTTCAAGGCGGAGCAGATCCCCGGTAAGACGGTCGCGATGTACGTGAACTCCCAGGACCCCGATAAGATCTGGCCGCCGGAGCGGTTCGCCGAGATCGCCGATCGACTGTCCGACCGGGGCTACACGCCGATGATGGTGTACGGGCCGGGCCAGGAGCGGGCCACCCGGCTGGTGACCGACCGCATGCGGGCCGCGGCGGTCGTCGACTACCCGATGCCGACCTTCCCCCAACTGATGGGCGTGATGCGGCGGTGCGACCTGTTTGTCGGCAACGACGGCGGCCCCCACCACCTGGCCGCCACCGCGGGGCTGCCGATGGTATCGCTGTTCCAGATCAGCCCGGTAGAATGGACCCGCCCCGGTCAGCCGCACCAAAGATTTGTCGCGTCGAGCGAAGTACAGACCCCGTGCGAGTCTTTGGGGACCTTCATCGACAGCCCGTTCAAGGACATCCCGGTCGAGCCGGTGTGGGAAGAAATCGAGCTGGTGCTGGAGAATACAGAGGACCGGTGACCCACGGCTGGCTCCGTGGGCTGCTGGTCAAATCCGTCTAGAGCCAACTGCCCATTGCCCCTGCCTATGTACGTGCGTGACAATCCCGTGCTGCAGTACGAGCTGCTGAGCACCCTGCGGCTGCCGCGGGCGTTCGTGCTGCTGTTTGCGTACATCGCTTTGCTGGGCGTGGTGGTGCTCCTGGCCTGGCCGCAAGAGCAGAAGCTCGACTTTGCTCAGCCAGAAGAGGCCAAGCGGCTGGTCAGCCTGTTCTTCTTTGGGCAGTA